TCCAAGTGGTGGGAGAGACAGGAAGGACTCACCCCAGCCATCTAGCCCTGCTCCTTGCCATGCCTGCCAGGAGGGTGCAAGGGGATGGGTGCTGGAGCCTGGCACCCCTTCTTCCTGACCCTCCACACCCTGGGAGGGCCCCAGCCCCAGACTCAGTGTGCTGTGTGGACCCAGAGGGTCCAACTCCACCCAAGGACAGGCGTCTCTGTGAACTCCTCTGCCAGGTCCATCCGGAGCTGGACAGGGCCAAGCCCAGACCAGCGTCCTTGGTGCCAGAGGGCAGAGAGGAGCGGATGACATGGCCAGGAGAGACAGACAGGCAGACAGAGCAGGCCAGGAACATGAGGGGCAGATCACCACGTGAGCCTCAGGAGAGGGTCAAAGCGAACATGGACATTGTGTCCCCACCCACTTCACTCCCCCTCCCCCTCCCCTCCCACTTCACTCCCGCTGTTCCTGTCCTGGGTCCCCAGCCCGGAAGCCAGGACATTGGCCCCATTCTAGGGCACTTGTTTCCAGCCACCACAGCTGTGGGCGCAGGGGCCTGGCTACCCCTGAGGCCAGTCTGGGGTGGGGCAGTCAGAGAAGTCGGCAGGACAGTGGGTGGCTGGACAACAGCAGGGATCAAAGGTTGTGCCACAGCTCTGGCTGGGGTCTCAGCAGTGTCTAGATGTGGGGTGGGGGGTGGGGGTTCCACTCGCCCCCGGGGGCTACTCCAAAACTGGCCCTGAGGCACTCACACCACCCACATCAGGAAGGGACGTTGGGCCCGGCAGAGCTGAAAGCAAGGGGGCATGGGACTAGAAAGACGGACAGGCAGGCCTGTGGTCTGCCGAACTGGGGCTGGTCAGACAGCCCAGGGACCCGGGGAGCTGCAAGAGCCCCCACCCCTGGGTTACCTTTGATGCTTGTCTGGTCCCATGACAGTGAGTGAAATGCAGGCCCCAGGAAGCCAGAAAGGGTGTTCCAGGCTGGAGTCTCATGCCTGTGGAGAAGGCGCCGAGGAGAAGCCTCGTCTCCTGGGGGCAGATAAGCAACCAGCACCGCACATGTTGGGGTTTCCAATTTTGGGGGCCAGTTCACCTCGCCCAGCCTTGTCCCAAACAGGGCAAGCCAGAGTGCAGTGTGTTTGGGGAAGGGGATTCAGGGTGCTGCTGCAAGAGGGCTGGAGTCGAGGTCACGGTTAGATCTGAGAGAGGGGTGCTGTGCCAGGCCAGGCAGTTGGGTTAGGGGTAGGAGACACCCGGACAGAGCTAAGGCTGGAGGTCTGGGTGAGGGGTAGGGCTGAGATGGCACAAGGCTGAGGTTGGGCTGGGGTCCTGGGCGGGCATGATGTCTATCACAGTGAGGGTCTTTCATGGGAGGCAGCAGTGAGAGCCCAGTGCCCAAATCATCTCTCTTCTTGCCCCCTGCTTGCTGACTGGCACTCACTCAGTTGCCAGCTGGGCAGAGACACGAGGAACCATGGGGTGGGAGCGGCCTGCGTGGGCAGCAGTGAGCCCAGGGTCGCAAGCCTGCTCCCCTCCCCGCATGGCTGGGGGGCAGGGAGTCGAGGGTGCTGGCTTGAGGCCTCCTGGTGTCCTGGGTATGTCCGCTGACAACAGTGGGGGTGGGGGGGGCTCGGCCAGGTCCCAGGGGCGCTAAGCCGCAGAGGAATGCTGTTGCCACCGGGAGGTGCCTGGTGTGACCACCCCCTCCCTCCCTTCCTCATGGTCCCCTAGAGGAGCGGGGCACCCACTGGGAGTAAGGAGTGGGGGTAGCTCAGGAGAGGCCCTCTGGGCAGCCACACAGCTGATAGACTCTATCCCAGGCATCTAGTATCCTGACTCAATTTCCCCTCTACAAAGTGCACCCCACCCCTGCCTCGGAGCCCTGGACAGCCCCCTACACCACCACCACCTGAGGCTGGAGTGGGCTGTCGAGCCTGTCTGTCCGGACCCACGGGGTCAGAGGAGAATTCTGGCTGCCTCTACCTCATCAGCTCCTGCCACTGGTGCCCACAAAACCAGTGGGTACCCACTCATAGTTACTCCTGTCCAATGTCCCCTTCCCCAGCAGCATTAGAACGACACCTATTTGAAGCAGGGGACCACCACCCAACCCCTGTTAGTTCAGGGTCCTCCCACCCCAGTGGAGTAGCGGCCCAAGGTCGCACAGCTGGGCAATGGCAGACCCCAGTCGAAACCCAGCCCTTCCCCCGCCCCACCTTGCCTCTCTGCTTGCATGCCCCCATTCCCAGGGAGCTCACCCCCTCACCAAGTAGCTCATCCCACCTCAAAAAACAAAGCTCTCCGCCCTCTTGCCAATTCCAACTCATAGCGACCCCACAGGTCAGGGTGGAACTGCCTGTGAGTTTCCAAGAGTGGAACTCTTTACGGGAGGAGAATGCACTGCCTGAGAAGTGCCTGGTGGTTTAGAACTGCTGACCTTGGGGACTGCAACCCACAGAGTCACAACTTGAATGAGCTCGTCCTTTCCTTGAACTGACCCCGCCCCCTTGTGACTACTGTGCCTGTGTTTCACGCAATACCTTGGCTCAGTTCCCCGAGGGATTCGGGGACCAAGAGTCCTGCCTTCGGGGTCTCACAGCTTCTAGACCTGCCCCCACATTCACGTGACCCCTCTTCGTGCCCCCACCCCCCAGGCTGCTGAATGAGAGTGACAAGCGCCCCTTCATTGAGGAGGCCGAGCGGCTCCGCATGCAGCACAAGAAGGACCACCCGGACTACAAATACCAGCCTAGGCGGCGGAAGAATGGGAAGGCGGCCCAGGGGGAGGCCGAGTGCCCTGGCGGGGAGGTGGAGCAGGGCGGGGCGGCTGCCATCCAGGCCCACTACAAGAGCGCCCACCTGGACCACCGGCACCCAGGAGAGGGCTCCCCGATGTCAGACGGGAACCCTGAGCATACTTCAGGTAAAAAGCAAGGGGGCTGCCTGGTGGGAGCTGTGCCCTCTGGAGCCCGGCCTTGGTGGGGTGGGGCATGGGGGGCTGGAGGGCCAGATGTTCTGCCCCTGCCCCCATCCTGGAGGGGGCTCATAGGTGCAGCAGGGAACCCTGGGAACCCAGAGGAAGCATGGGGCAAGGTGGCCCCAGCCAGGGGGGCAGTTGTAGGGTCAGGAGGCCGAGCAGTCCCCACCACGAGGGGACCGGAGGGCTTTGAAACACGGAAGAAGAGCTCCTAGCCTCCTTCACCCCCAGTCCGGTGCAGGAGACGTGGCGTGCGGTGGGCACAGGCCATGTACTTCTCACTAGTGACATAGGCAGAGACCGGAACAGAGTCCGGCTGGATGAGTGGCTGCACATGGCGCCTGCATGCAATCCTTACAAAGAGCATGAGAAAGGAGACCCTGCCCCTCCTCCCCCCCAGCTGAGCTGGCGCCTAGGCGGCTGCGCCCCAGAGAGGGAGCTGGGCCTGGGCAGGCCCCCAGGGAGGGCATGCTGAGCCGAGCTGGGTGCCCTCAGGAGCCGCTCTGGGCACCTGCTGGGCCAGGCCCTGGAGGAGGCGCTGGGACTATAGGCCAGGGGCCCTCGGGCCCTCCCCCAAGAGCTCCCAGTCTAGAGGAAGAGCTGGGGTGAAACCAGTGGACAGAAGACGGGAAGTGATCAGCACCAGGGCCTTGCCAGGTTCCCGAGGTAGCCTGCCTGCCCCAGAGATACCCAGCTAACTGCAGAGTCTGGGAGGGAGTGCAGGAGGCCAGGGCTGGCTGGCACTGAGAAGGCAGGGACAGGGATGTGCCCCGGGTCACGAGGAAGTGGCAGGACTGGGATTGAAACCCAGGCGGGTCTCTTGGTCCAGTACCTTGACTAGTGCAGGACTTGGCAGTGCCTGTCAGATGGAGGAGGCACAGCCTGCCTGGTGGGGGTGGAGGGGCACCTGCTACCATAGGACAGAGGGCCCCTACCCCACCCCACCCCCGCAGTTAAGCCACCCCTTCCCCACACTGCCCCGGCACCTTCAGATTCAGGGTCACCCACGCCCCCAGGAGGTCATGCACAAAACCATTACCTCATAATAAAACTTGGGGTGCAGGCTCGGCCTCTCCCCTGAGGCCCAATACCCCCCTAATCTGTGAGGCCTTCCTTACCCCCCCTCCCAAGGCAGAGTGGGAGCCACCCCCTCTGCCCTGTCCTTGCCTGCCCTTTCTAGGACGCACTCCCGTCACCTGGGTGTCTGGGTGGCCCCCTTGAAAACAGGGCACCATTTTCTCTATGTGCGTGGGCCCAGCCCCTCCCTGGCCATGTTTAGCAGTGTTTGCTGAAGGAGTAAGTGAAGGAGACGGGGCGGAGCATGTCCTTGCCGTCTGTATCTAACTGGCCCCCTGTGGCAGCCACTCAGGAGCCCTGAGTGTAGTGTAGTGGTTACCCATTGAGCTTCGGCCTGCGAGGTCGGCGGTTCGAAACCCCCAGCTAAGGGCATTCTATTCTCTTAAGCAGTTAAGTGTTGGAAACCCACAAGGGCAGCACTACCCTGTCCTGTTGGGTCCCTACGCGTCAGAATTGGCTGTGAGTTTGGCTTTAGTTTGGGGGGGGGGCACTCAGCCAACCATGGTTGAGTGGGACACTCGGCACGGCTGGGGGCCCAGAATGGGGAGGAGACCCTAGGGTGGCAGCCACAGGGAAGCAGTGGCGGGGGCAGGGGAGTGCAGCAGGGCAGGGAGGCCGGCTCAGCCCGGAAGGCACTTCTGGGAAGGGGAGGGTGGAAGGCAGGCCCGACCTCGGCTTGGGGACTCTGAGCCACGGGGACAACTTCAGGGCCAGCCTTCTTAGCAGGTGCCAATTCTTGGCCAAAGCGGAAAATGTGGACACACTCGGGCTCTGACCCGGAGAGCCACCGGAAGCCCACCTGTGCTGCGTGCCCCCTGACCACACAACCTTTTGTCTCTCCATCTCCTCTCCCTGTCTGCCACCCAGGCCAGAGCCACGGTCCGCCCACCCCTCCAACCACCCCAAAGACGGAGCTGCAGTCCGGCAAGGGCGACCCCAAGCGGGACGGGCGCGCCCTGGGGGAGGGCGGGAAGCCCCACATCGACTTTGGCAATGTGGACATCGGCGAGATCAGCCATGAGGTGATGTCCAACATGGAGACCTTTGACGTGGCCGAGTTGGACCAGTACCTGCCGCCCAACGGGCACCCAGGCCATGTGGGCAGCTATTCGGCAGCCGGCTATGGGCTGGGCAGCGCCCTGGCTGTGGCCAGCGGACACTCTGCCTGGATCTCCAAGCCGCCAGGCGTGGCTCTGCCCACAGTCTCGCCACCTGGTGTAGATGCCAAGGCCCAGGTGAAGACGGAGACCTCGGGGCCCCAGGGGCCCCCGCACTACACTGACCAGCCGTCCACCTCCCAGATAGCCTACACCTCGCTCAGCCTGCCCCACTACGGCTCCGCCTTCCCCTCCATCTCCCGCCCCCAGTTCGACTACTCTGACCATCAGCCCTCGGGACCCTACTACGGCCACTCGGGCCAGGCCTCCGGCCTGTACTCAGCCTTCTCCTACATGGGGCCCTCGCAGCGGCCCCTCTACACAGCCATCTCTGACCCCAGCCCCTCGGGCCCCCAGTCCCATAGCCCAACACACTGGGAGCAGCCAGTATACACAACGCTGTCCCGACCCTAGAGGGGGCTCTGGCACCAGCCCCACCAGGCCCTGCTGGGCACTGACCCCTCCCGCCCTTGCTTCCTGTGCCTTGTCCAGCTGGGGCTTGCAGGTGGCTGGAGGCCTGCCCTGTGATCCCTCCCTGCCCCGTCCAGGTGCCGGCCTGGGCAAAGCCCTGGCAGCTAGTTTGGACCAAGGAGATGGAAGCTGACCAGCCCCCCTCCCCAACCTCCAGACTGCAAGAATGAGGGCTGCACCTTCCTCCCCCAAGAATGACCCTCAACCTCAGAGCCTGACAAGGGCCCGCCCACCGCCCAGAGGGAGGAGGGGCATCCCGGGTTGGACGGATGGCAGCTGGAGGCTTTGCCACTACTAGGCACAGGGACCGAGGGGCCGGACTTGGCCCTGTGCCACGTTACCTGGGGGCCAGGCCAACCAGAGACATCGGTGCCCACTCGGGGGCCAAGGACTGCTCAGGGCAGCTCCACGGTGTGTGGAGGGCTGGGGTCTGAGTGGGGACTCTCCAGCCCCCTCAATGCGCTCTCCCCGCCCCTCGTGAACACAGAATGGAGGTGGCACAGAGCCCCGGGTCCAGTGCTGTGCCAACAGCCTCATTCCTCACCTGATGGAGAGACAGTGCCTGTCGCCCTTGGGCCAGCCTCCCAGCCAGGTAGGCAAGGGCCCCAGGGACACATTGAGAGACAATTCCTGGACCCCCTCCCCAGGCCCCTCTTCCCTTGGTCAGGCTTGCAGGCCCTGCTCTGTCAGCCCCAAGGCCCCTGGTTCCCCACAAGTTCGAACTGCTCAGGCCCCCAGTGGCTGACAGGCGGCCGAAGCCACTAAAGCCCTCCACATACTTTCTGCCCCCTCACCCTCCGCCTCCCAGTGGTACCTGAATAAAAGTGTAGCTCTGCCCACCCCCTTTCCTGTTCTCAGACCCCTCGCTCCACATGTAACTCATTACTGTCCCCCTCTTATTTATCTCAGTAGCCCCCTCCCGTCCTGCTACTCCAGCCCCCATTAACCCCGCATTAAGCATTCCACGTAATAAAAGTAAAGGTTCCTTACTGCCTGGTGGGCCTGGCCTGTCTCAGTCTCATCTCCCTATGGCTTGCAAACATTCTGGAAGGAGCGGGGGCAAAGGGGAGAGAATCCAAGGGTCTCCTCATCTTTCTGAAGAAGGGGAGCAGGCTTGGGTAAGGACAAGTGGTGGCCCAGCGGGGTCAGTCTGCCAGGGCACTGGCATATTTGATGGGTACATTCATTGGTTCAAACCCAGGCCAACACCCACCCAGCCAAGGAGCAGGACTTGAAGAGGGAGCCCCTGGAGGGAGGGGCTGCACACAAGGTCCACACCCTCAACAGCTGACTGAGAGGCTGGAGGGTCAAGTCCACCCAGATGCTCCTTGGAGTTAAGACCTGGCAACCTGAGAAGCCGCACTGGAAATACAGGGGAGCAGGGTCTGCTCGGACACAAGGGCGGGAGGGGGCTGCTGTGGAGGAGCTGGGTGGAGGCTGTTGTCTTGAGCTGGCTGGCCTGGTCCACCCCTTGCTATCCTCCTCCACCTGGCCCCAACCTAAGGGTCCACCTGGACCTAGCAAACCTTCACAGCCGTCTGAGGTGCTCACGCCAACACGAGCTCCTTTCTCAGCCTGTGCTCAGGCCTCAGGTGCACAGCACGGGGTCTGGCTGGCTGGCTCCTTTGATAGGACAGCTCCGGGATGTGGCACTTCTCCCAGCAAGTAGCTACCTGAGTGCTGCCCAGGCATGTGCCTCAGGTCAGGCTGGTGGGTCTCTCCTGTTTTCCAGATGAAGCTGGGGCTGTGAGTCAGTGCTGTTAAAGGGCACTGGGCTCTGACACCAGGCCCCCCTCTCCCTCACCCACCATCAGCTGAGGGCCCTGCTTCTACTGTTCACACGAGGGGGGGGGGGCGGCGGGGGCTGCTCATCTACCTTGGGAGAAAGGCCTGGCAGTCTACGTCATCTGGAGCACAGCTCAGCTCCGGCAGCTCTCAAGTTGACGCAAACGGACATACTGGCTCTGGGCATATATGCCTTTCACCTGGAGGGAACTGCCTGGCTGGTGCAGCCCAGCCCCTGCTGCTTAGTCTGGGCACGGGGGCCACCAAGGGCGAGCTCATCCACCCAGTGACCAGCTCCCAGGATAGGGAGAGGTGCGTGAGCTCTTTGGGCAACCCCCTGGCTCCTGTCAAGCCCTGTCTTACAGTATGGGCTGCCAAGCCCAAGCCCCTCAACTAGATGAAGGTATCGTCTGTGGCAAGATGCTGACCCACGTCCCACCCACATTAGACCTTGTGGCAGCCTGGATCCAACTCACTGTGAGCTGTGAACAGGAGTGAGAAGACTGTAGGCAGCCGGACCCGCGTGCTACTAGCCACCTCTCCATCACTAGCACTCGGGAAGGCTGGTCACACTCGCTCCAAATCCATCCCGCCCTCCCGAGGGGCCGACTGCTCATCCCAGCCGTGCTAAGAACCAGTTTCCCCGACAGTGTCCTGGCCAGTAGCACCAAGCCAGCAGTCAGGTCACTTGGTGAAGCCTTGGCTGGCCCCCAGTGGTCTTCTGTTCACCTGCATTCCAGTCTAGAAGCTTGCAAGAGACCTCCCGAACCGAGGTGACAGTGCATGGTTTCTGCAGCCTTTGCCCACGTGAGGTAGGGCACCTGCTCACCTCCAGGCTGGCCTATTCTCAGTGGGGCTGTGGTTGGCTCGGGTGCACTGAGAAGACACTGCCTGCCAGGACTTGACTCAGGGGTCTGGGGATGGTGGGAGTCCGTGACCAGGACTGCACTCATCACGGAGACCAAAGGTCCCCATGTTCGGGACCGCAGTGACCACGGTGCCATCACCCGTGAGAAAGGGCCAGTTGTGTCTGGAGAGGACCGAGGCGATGCCCCACCCCCCCACCCCCAGTTCTACAACAGTGGCAGCAGGTGCTTGCTCCTGGGAGAAGTCAAAGGCACTGCCTGGCCACACGAGGGGGGACCCCCAATGAGCAGACTATGGAGGATGGGTGACAAGAAGACACCCCTCTCATCTCCCCTATACCCAGACCCAAGGGTTAACCCACTCCCTCTCCAGCCCCCTCCCCCTCCCATCTCCCTTTAATCACATCTGATAGTGAGCAGCCCAGTGGGAACAAAGGGACCATTTAGAGAAATGGGGCCAAGGGAATGACCCCCGCGCTCCGGGGCGGCCGCCGGGATGCCGGCACAAAGGCGGCGTTTCAGGGCTGAAATTTCAGCACCCAACTTGATTAAAGGATTCCACAGGCGCGGAGGGTGGAAGGGGTGCTCGGCCACTGCTCCCCATGTTAACCCTTCTACAGCCCAGCGAGCACCCACTGCTCCCATGGGCTCCCCAACCCACGGCTGCTCCTCAGCCCTGTCCTGCCCTGGGGGCCCACCCTCAGGCAGAGGCTAAGCCAGAGCCAGATGGGGAGACAGGAGGCCGGCCACCTGGACAGGTCAGGACCAATGCTTCCTTCACGCTCTGTCCCTGGTCCTCGTCCCCCCTGAGCAAGGGAGAGGGGAGAGGAGGAGGGGGGTGCTGTGGCTGGTCTTCCTCAGGCTGGGAAAACTGGATGTAGAGCAAGCCCCGTGAGAGGGGATACCCAGGGTAGGGAGCTCCAGCTGACCTGATGTCAGCCGTGACCCACTGCCACCCTGACACCCAGCCCAAGGAGGGCTGGAGGACGGGGACAGGCTGGGTGAGGGTGTGGCTGAGCAGGGAGGGGTGGGGCAGAGGGGGCAGGGCAGGCAGGTGTCTGGGGAGGCAGGAGGAGGCTTTGCCCTGAGCTTCCTGCTCCTGAAAGGGGAGCCGAGCCCCGATAAGGCCATGGCAGGTCCTCAGAAAACAATGGGCAGCTTGATGAGACCTGCTCAGTGATACTCCTGAGAAGAAGCACCCCCACCCGGGCCCCGCAGCAGAGGAAACCGGGGTCTCCCAGGCAACCAGCTCCCTGGGCACAAAGGCGAGTCTGTCTGTGGGCAGGCAGCTGAGGTGTCCCCCTGTAGCAGCCTTGCTCTGGCGAGGTGGGGAGATGGGGGACCAACGAGGTCTGAGGAGGGAGCCAGAAGCCTCTGGCCGCTGGACTAGGTGTGTGCTGGGCGGCAGCAGGGGGCAGGGAAGGTCACCGAGGGCGGAGGCAGCTGGTGCAGGGCGGCAATTTATTACTGTCAGAGCCCAGCCCCGACTCAGTCAGAGATGATGAGCTCATCCACGCCCCAGTCCTCGTAGCTGCCGTCGGGCAGGTAGCGGCGGATGATGATGGGGATCTTCCGGGCCCTGTGGGAGAAGACACAGGAGGGGAGGGCTGGGAACCCCAGCTTTGCAGCAGACTCTGGGCAACAGGCGTTTTGGGAGGCTCCGTGTGGGACAGATGGGACTCCCTTCTCAGGAAGGAGCTACAGTGCAAAGGGGCGCCCTGCACCCGAGCATGGGGGGGTGGGCCAGGAAGGCCGGGTTGTCCGGGGTAGGAGGAAGCGGAGATGTAGGTCAGCCCAGCAGCAGGTGCATCCTGACAGCCAGGGAGACCCGTCTCTGCAGGTGGGTGTCCCCTCTGCCTGCTGCCACCCCAAATGCCCCATGGGCTGATCCCCAGGGAACCAGCACCCACCTCCCCAGCCAGGACAGTGGGCACAGAGGAGAAGGCCAAGCTGGGACACTTACTTGAGCTCCTTCATGGCGATGAGCAAGGGGTCCGTCTCCCCCTCCAGCTCCACCATCACGGGGGCACACATCCTGTGGGCAGAGGGGCAGGTGGTGGGAGGCTGCAGGTCCAGAAGAGGACCCAGCAGGAGGCAGGGAATCACTTCACAAATGGGGTGTCCCAGCCTTTACTTGGAAAGGTCATTTCCAGGGAGGGAGGCACTACCACAGGCCAGCCACAGCGAGGGCCCGAGGTGGGGATGCACACAGAAACCAATTCCCAATGTCAAGTCAACTAACTCACTGCCATGGAGTCAGTTCTAACCCCTAGGGTGGGGAAGAACTGAATTACCCTCTGGGTTTCAGAGATTGAAACTCTTCACAGGAACAGACAGCCTCGTCTTTCTCCCAGATCAAGTATACTAGCACCCATCTCCTCCAATCTCTGCTCTGAAAACCGAGTCCTCCGGCTCACCTGCCGGCGTGGCGCTGAAACAAGGAGCGGCAAGCAAGGATGCAGTGCAGGGCACAGCCAGGAATGGTGAAGTCTCACCTGCTCCTAACCACTGTGCTCAAACACCCCACCCGTCAGAGAAGAGCGGTCTCTCTCGGGAAAGGGAGGTCAGCTATCTTCATGACTCCACATGACGTCCATGTCAGCTCCCCTGCCAAGGGCCTTCCCCAGCCCAGACTCTGGAGCCAGACGCTAAGGCAGAGCGCCCCAGACTGGAAGAGCATGTACAAAGGCATGGTGCCCATGAGCCCAGCTCCCTCCTGGCCTGTGGCAACAAGCCCCTCGGTAGTCTCACAGCCCCAGCCTCCACACCTTGTATGTGGCTCAGCTGCTCACAATCCTTCCACGACTCTACAATCCTCAGGCCAGAACCTAGCCTGCTCCCTACTCACCTTTATAGCATCTTCTCAGGCTACTGGCCTACCTTTACCCCATGTTGCTGCCACTCACCACTAGATGGCTCCCTGGGCATGCCATGCAGGTGCCCCGCTCACAGCTACGCCTCTCCAAGCTTGGGACAAGGTCCTGGGGCTCAGCTCTAGGCCACACACGTTTCCTCTTGGCTCCAGTCCTATACACACAGTCTCCACAGCTCACCACGTGGCACACTGCGGGGACCCACCAGATGAGCTTGTCATGCTGGGCTCGTGTGATGTTGTTCCTAGCTACCCATCACCCCCACCACTGCCTGCCTCCATCTGGACCTTTGCCTCCGTTTCTGGCACCTGGAAGTTCCTCTAACACCCTCCCCACACACACACACACACACACACACTGTCCCACCCAAGTTCTGATTCCTGTAGAAGGCTTCCCCAGGTGCCCAGGAATGAATGGGTTTCGGCATCTTCTATAAGGAGCCCTGATGGCACTGTGGAAATGTCAGAGGTCTGAGCCCACCAGCTCCTCCCCAGGAGAAAGATGAGGCTGTCTGCTCCATCAGACGGATCATCTTGGATACTCTCTCTAGTATCTCTATGAATCAGTCGACTCGATGACAGTGGGTTTGGGGTTAATTAGGGTGTTTTTGTGGAGGCTGTACCTCTGGCAGACTAAGTCTTTAATCGACTTCACATCCCCAAAAGGGGCCAGCAGAGTCTTGCTCAACATGCTGCGTGACTGTGAACTTGTATATAGTCAACTTGCAAAGTCTGAATCTGACAACTAACCATCCCTGCCCACAGAACGCTCTTCTAGGACAGACGTGTCCTGTATCTGCACTGTAATTACAGCAGCCACTCCTCCGTGTGGCTACTGAGCACTTGGCATGAGGCCAGGGCGACTAATTCAGCGAATTCAATTTTGCTCACTGACACGTCAGCAGCACAGCCGGCTAGGGCTGACACTGCATGGTGCAGGCCCGTATGGGCCTGAAGTGGGGAGTGCTGCTCCACTCTCACCCAGACCAGCACCAAATACAGTGCCATCCAGGTTTCCAGTTTAAGGACAGGGTGTGGCCGGCCGGGGTGGGGGTGGGGGTGGGGGTGTTGCTTGCACGAGGGGCGAGGCAAGGAGCCAACACTCACGCGATCTGGAGGGCCCGGGTGCCCAGCACTCGGGCGCGCTCGTACTTGGTCATGTACGGTGTGGTGATCCGTTTCTGATTGGCCTGGGGTCGCTCCCCCGAGGGAAGGATCTCAACGTTCTCCTGGCCCTCCTGCACACCGACAGAAAAGAGGCAAAGGCACGGGGCTTGGTGGCACAGGGGGTAAGCACTTGGCTAACTTGAACCGGCTGCTCAAACCCCCCAGCCGCATCTCAGGAGAAAGCTGTGGCCATTAGCTTCCGGAGAGCTGACAGCCTTGCAAACCCTGTGGGCCGGGATGTCCTCCTCTGTCCTGCTGGGCGGCTCCCAGTCAGAATAAACTGGAGGCACAGGGACTTCTCCCCAGGGCATGGAGACACAGTGTTTGGGTTTTTTAAATGGCATTGAAAAAAGGCAAGCTCTCGGGGTGCACACATCGAGGAGGCCGAGTGACGAAGCTAATGAATACAGCCAGCACTCTCACAGGTGCCTAGTAGAGGCCAGGAACTCCGCACTGCCAGGTGGGTAGTGACTGGGGCCTTCCGAGCAGCCACCAACGGTACAACTCTTAGTCTCTCCTCATCGGGAGCAAAAGACATGAAAATCCAGACATGTGGAAATAATAAATCCAGGGGCCTAATGGACCACAGGAACACCAGCCTGCACAACCCTGAGACCAGAAGTAGGCTGTACCCGGCTACCATTCCCAACCGCTCTGGAAGGAGTGACGTCAGTAAGTTCCAGACAGAGTAGGAGGGACATGGAGAACCAGACTAAAAATCCTAAGAGACTAGCCTGACTGGTGGGCTAGACACCAGGAGGAATCCGGGGACTATGGCCCTTAGTCACTCTTCGGGTCTGGAACCAAACTCATCCCCGGGGTTCAGTGTTCAGCCAGTTAGATCTATAAGGAGATCGATAAAACTAAGGCAGTATGCACACCCTAGCACACTCCACTACCTGAGACCAAAGGGCAGTACTGAGCCAAGGATGAAGTTCAGAATGGTTACGAAGGGAGGAGGGAGGGCAACGGGGACCCCTGGAGGAAGTGGGAGAAGAGCCGTTACAGTGAGGGGACTGTGGTGAACAAACACGAGAAACAGTGTCTGAACTGCTGACTGAAAAACATATGGCCTGCTTTGTAAACCTCCATCGGAATCACTGTGAGTTTAAGAACAAAAAGCTATGGGAAAATTCTATGATCTTTGAGTGCCATTCTGCCACAATCTTTTGGGAAGCCCTCTGCTGTCAGTTCTGAATGCTTGGGATAGAGCAGTGAATATGAACATAAAAATTCTTTCCTCTGTAGCGCTTACATTAAAACAAGATAAGTGCTAAATAAAATACAGAGTATAAAAACAGAGAACCCCCTCAGAAATAGTAATGAGAGCAACGATTCCAGGAGGATAGGGGAAGAAGGGGGAAGGAAGAGGGAATGGATAGCAATGACGGCGGAATAGCCGCTCTCCGGGGAAGAATACCAGGACAGTAGGTGATGGATAGAATGGGCAGTGTAAGATATGTATAAATGATAATAACAACACATAATATATTAAGGGTTCATGGGTGTGGCATGGGGAGGGGGGAGGAGGAAAAAGCAGATATCAAAGGGCTAAAGAAGAAAGATAATGCTTAGAAACTGTTTATGCCAATAATTGCACATGTCCGCTTGAGACAACGGATGTCTGGTTTGTTACAATATATGTAAGAGCCCCCAATAAAATAATTTATTAAATAAAAAACTCTTAACAACGACAACAAACAAAGGAAGCAGAAGGGAGTGCCAGGGTGGGCAGCAGGTGAGGAGGAGAGAATGCAGTAATGCTGGGTTTGATGGTCACGGAAGGCCTCGCCGAGTGGTAGCTGGACAAAGAGCTGGGGCGTGTCTGTTGAAGGAGGGATGTGGGTGATGTTTTACCCACCAATAAACCAACCAAAATGTCAAGGACCAGCTGGGCAAAGACCTCCAGGCCTGCTCCCCACCACCAGCATGCGGCCCCATCCAACTAGAGCTGCTTGTGACATGGCCCCCAAGCGCAGAGAGGGGCTAGTCTCCTGGCCCGTGACTCCTGCAACCTGAGCCCAGGCTCCGTAGGCACTGACCTCCTCGGGATTCTCCAAGTCATCGAGCCCTTCGTCCTCCTCCACGTCATCAAAGTCGTCACCGTCAAGACTGTTCAAGAGGAGGGAGAAGGCCGGTCAGAGCATCACTCACCACAAAGCACAAGGCACCCAAACAACAGCTTCCTAGCTTCAACCCAATCCCGTTTCCTCCAGCCGCCCCTGTCAGCCCCCAACGGTGCTAGGGCTCTCATGTACTACTCCTTTCTCTGCCCCCAGTCCTGGGTCCATGGTGCCCTTGGGAGAAATACTCAAGAGCTGTCCATCCTCCAGCTCCCCTCTTCCCATCCTACCGTAACCTCATTCCAGTAAGACCTTCCCTGCTCCCCGCCCAGCTCCACCAGCACCAATCTTTTCAAGTCAGAACCGAGTTCCACGTGCTAAATCCAACAGCCACACACAATCCCATTTAACCTTAACCCGATCTGCCAGATGGCCCACTAGACCACACCCTCCCCGCTTCAATGATCTTCTCACTGGGCTCCGGACACCTCGCTCTCTCAGATCCCCCACCCCCACGCCCTTCCCCATGCTCCTTCCCAAGCTCCACTACTGCTTTCTCCTCTGCCTGTGAGCACGCATGGTGGGAAAGCTCTAGCACTTGGTCGGTGGTCGCCTCCCCATCTCTCCTGACACTCTCTGGGTCATCTCAACCTGGTTCTTAGCTTTAAATGACACACTTAGGCTTTGCATTATACACATTTTTATCTTCAGAATAGTCCTCTTTTCTCACCCCACACATCCAATCCGTGATGAAAATCTCTTGGCTTAAAAAATAAGATTTCTGGAGGGAGGATGGGGTGGAAAGGGGGAACCGATTACAAGGATCTACATATAACCTCCTCTCTTGGAGAGGGACAACAGAAAAGTGGGTGAAGGGAGACGTCGGACAGTGCAAGATATGACAAAATACTAATTTTTAAATTATCAAGGGTTCATGAGAAAGGGGGTAGCGGGGAGGGAGGGGAAAAATGAGCTGAACCAGGGGTTTAAGTGGAGAGCAAATGTTTTGAGAATGAGGGCAATGAATGTATAAATGTGCTTTACACAATTGATGTATGGATTGTGATGAGTTGTACGAGCCCCTAATAAAATGAAAAAAATAGTAAGACTTCAAAAATTTCTTGTCTTTCCCTTCAAAATGAATCCAGAATTCCACCACTCCTCACCACGTGTACCATTACTCCAGTGCAGGCTACTACTTCTCTCACGCCGATGACCAGGACTTCCCAGCTCCCTTCACTGCCTAACTATCAACACAGTAACCAGTGCGACCCCTGTTGCTAGCTGGCATGGAGTCTGCTCCGACTCACAGCGGCCCTGTGCACAACAGAAGCAAACACTGCGGTCCTGGCCGTCCTCACCGTTGCTCCTGTGCCTGAGCCTGCTGATGCAGCCACCGTGACAGCCCATCTCGTCAAGGGCCTACCTCTTTTTCATCGCCCTCCACCTTACCAAACACGATGTCCT